ATCCACTGATATTAGTTCCACAGCTAAACTTCTGATATTCATACGAGGTGTTACTCAAGATTTTGAAGTCTTAGAAGAGTTATTAGGAATGTGTGCATTGAAAGGTCAAACCAGAGGAGTTGATATACTCAATGTACTTTTGGATGAGTATTCAAAAACTGATTTGGACTTATCAAAATTATCGGCAGTTGTGACGGTGCTCCTTCGATGATTGGTGTCAATTCTGAGCTTTTCAATTTTGTCAATTTCTGGGCTACTTTGCTGAAAAGCATCTGCAAGAAAAAAGCATAAACGATGAAGATCTCATGCAGTTTTTTTATTATTTATAAAAGTATATAATAATAAATAAATAAATTTTATTTCGTTTTAAAAAGTACATGCCTTAAGAACTAGTAGATTGGAACCTCCATTTAAGCAAAAAATGCCTGTGTTTGGAGGGTCCGCCCTTCCATTACTATACCTATTCATGTTACATGGCAGTATGGGTAAACATATTCTATATCATATATTAAAGTTATCTATATATTACTTATATTCTAAAATTAGGACAATCAAACGATAGGAACTAGTCTACTTATAAATACTGTATGGTATGTGAGTGAAAGTTTATTTATTTATGTATACGTATGTGTGTGTGTGTGTGTGTGTGTGTGTGTGTGTGTGTGTGTGTGGTGTGAGTGTGTGTGTGTGTCTTTGCTTGCATGAGTTAAAATGAGTGTGTGTGATTAGAGTGTCTGAATCTGTACAAATCATATAACACGATCCAGAAGCTTCTCTTGAATCCATTTCAACAAAAGATTTTTACAGTTATGTTTTGTCATATATATATATATATATATATATATATATATATATATATATATATATATATATATATATATTTACTTCTTTGTTCATTTTATTATAAGTTTCAGTTTCACTGCATTATACACCAAGAAGCCCTTCTCTTCTAAAAAATTTAATTTCAAAATGTCATGAAAGTGGTAGTTTCAACTGTAAATTTCATAAAATCACGAGGACTCAATCACAGGCAATTCAAACAATTTCTTGATGACATCGAAAGCGAATATGGAGTTTTACTGTATTATACAGAAGTAAGGTGGCTAAGTCGTGGATTGACACTGGAACGATTTCTAAATTTAATAGAAGAAATTGGAATATTTCTGGCGGAAAAGCAAAAGGATATCCCGGAACTTAAAAATCCTGATTGGTTGTGTGATTTGGCTTTTTTAGTTGATATTACAAATCATTTGAATGTCTTGAACATATGGCTTCAAGGCAAAAATCAACTGATATCCCAGCTCTACGCTCATGTATCATCCTTTCAATGCAAGCTGACACTTTTTAGATCGCAATTGAATTCTGGAAATTACAATCATTTTCCGAATTATAAGAAAATGGCTGAAAAATTCAACAAAACTGCGATTAATTTCAGTTATGTAGAAAAGCTAGATATTTTGATTCAATCTTTTCAAGACAGATTTTCGGAGTTTAAAAAAGTGAAACCTCTGTTGGACATATGCAGTTAGAAATTATCGACATTCAAAACGACCAAGATTTACGCAACAAATTCAACGAAGGAGACTTGCTGAACTTTTACCGCTGCATTGATAAAAATACGTACAAAGAGTTGCGCATAAACGGTCTGAAATGTGCCAGCTTATTTGGTTCTACCTATATATGTGAACAAACCTTATCAATACTAAATAATAATAAAACAAAAAATCGAAACCGCCTTGCAAACGAAAGGAAGCAGTTTTACATGGACAATAAATTTGAGCCAAGTATAAAAAAGATTATAAACACTATGCAGTGCCACGCTTCAAATTAATAAATTCTTTTCAATTTTAATACATTATTATCAATTCTTTATTGTCTTCAATTACCTCTACTCCTGCCGGCCCGCCATCAGTTCATAATTTTCCCGAGTGGCCCCTAGTCTTAATAAGTCTGTGCATCACTTCTTTAGAACCATAGACCACATACATATCCTTCGGCAAATTGTAGTGTGTACAGAAGATCGAAGAATACAATATCCCACTTTGTCTTGCGTATGTGGACTATGAGAAAGCCTTTTGATTCCATCGAAATTAGGTCGGTGCTGCTATCCCTTCAACGGTGACAAGTTGATTGTCAATGTATCTAGGTGCTGAAGTGTTTGTACAATATGGCTATGATGACTATTCAATGGCTATCCAAGTACAGAACCAGAATACGAAACCTATGCAACTGCAGAGATATGTAAGACAGGGTGAAGTTATAAGCCTGAAACTTTTTACCGCGGCATTGGAAGATGTTTTCTAGCACACCTGCAATTTGCCGACGATATAGTCCTTATGGCTTGTGAGAAGACCTAACACTATGATCCATAGCTCGTCAATAGTGCCTCCCAAAGCCTATCCGACTTTAATATGAACATGGACAAAACAAAGATCATGTGTAACGTCCGAGTCACACCTATGCTGGTAGTTGTTGGGAGCACTAAGCTCAAACTTGTTTACGTGTATGTTTACCAAGGACAAAAAGTCCGACTAGGTAAATCCAACTTCGAATGAGAGGTCAATCAACGGATTCATGTCGGCTGGGCAGCGTTCGGTAGATTACGACACATCTTCTCGTCAGGCATACCTCAAAACTTGAAAAAGAGATTATACAACCAGTGCGTGTTGCCAGTGATGACTTATGGATCTTATACGTGGTTCTATACTACTGACCGTATGAGGAAGCTCAAAGTCGCTCAGCAAGCGACGGGATTTCTCTACGTGATAAACTTAGAAATGAGGTTATACGCAGTAGAACCAGAGTGACCGACATAGCCCAATGGATTAGTAAGCTGAAGTGGAAATGAACCAGCCATATATCTCGAAGAACCGACAACCGATAGGGAAGAATGGTTCAAGAGTGGCAGCCTCGTACTGGTAGGAAAGTGTGGGGCGGCCCTCCACTAAATGAACATGCTAAGACATGCAGGAAATCTATGGCAGGCTTAGGACCGTTTTTTCTGACATTCTTTGGGAGAGGCTTATGCACCAGCAGTGGACTTGTGAAGAGCTGTAATGACGATCACAATGAAGATATGACCTTTTGATTCCAAAAATATCTCTGACCTGAGAATAACTAACAAGAAACTCTATGGAACTTGTTTTTCTTATTGTTCCTAAATATCTTGTTCAGTTTTTGACATAGACCCTTTAACAAAACGGTCTAAACTGACAAACTGCCAATTGATCATTTATTTATTTTTGAAGATAAAGAAGAAAAGAATTTAAAATATTTTATTATTACTCTGCTCAATGAAATATAAAAATTCGGCCCCTCCCTTGGTTTAAGGAACGCTAAAATTTCAGATTCCATTCTATTTTTGAAATTTACATTAAATATGTTCAAGTTTCATTTTGAAACAGAAACGGATTGTTTTTTATTCAATATCCATTGTAAATAATACTTATTAAAGTCATTCTTTTATTTAATTCACCAATGGTTCGACAAAAACCTTTGTCCTGGGAAGAACCAATAAGAAACCCAGAGGCACTTTAAAAAAAACAGCTTACAATCATGTATGTTACACAATCAACAACACAAAATAAATTAGAAATAGCACGGTTGCGATCACCTCATTCCGAGGGGTTATTATCATCCATAAATTACTTAATATTTTATTAACCCTTTTTATACAAACTTAGTTTAATAAAGTTTTTGAAATTTGAGCAGGTGAAATTTTATATATTGTGTATATTGACAATTCATTTCTAGGTATGTTCGTTGTAAGAGAGAGTGAAATTACAGACTCTATGTATTTTATACACACGGGACGTGTCGAAGAAACTAAAGACGAAGATAATCAAAAGAAAACATTTTATACTGGAGATAGCTTTGGCGTGGTAAACACATTTTTGAACTCATTATTATAAACTATCAAAATCCGATGCGGTACATACGTCTCCCCATACAATTCTTTATAGGGAGGTTGCCATATTTGCCACGCTAGCAAGCGGGTTGGCAAACGCAGTTTCTAACTAGTTGTAACGGAGCGAGCGAACGCAAGAAAACGCTTTTTTTAAATCTATCTCCTCCGTAACCCGTAGGCCAATTTACATAATTTTTTCGGCAATATTTGTAGCTCAATGCAGACAAGGTTTGTAAACAATAAAAATCTGAATTTGTCTAAAAGATATTCAAAAATAGGCGAAAACTGAATTGTCTATGGGAATGAAATGAAAGGAAATGAAAATACATCTAAAGCAAAAGCGCGCCTTACTACACTCCGTTTATGATGCTAGCAAAAGGTTATTTATACCTTTGAATCTGCATCGGCCCTAGTTCTTATAAGGAGGATGTTGCTTTCCTGGTTTGTTTCCCTTTATCGCCTCTTACGACAACCACAGGACGATATGAGCTAGTGGATATTCTTACACCGCTACTATACAAATAACTTCTTCGAGTATAATATTAGCTTATAACTAATAAATCCATTATCCTCTCTTACCTAAAAGTTTGATCTATCCGCTCTAACTTGCTTCTTAATAACGCAATAAAAACTCTTTCATCCGATGAACGCATACATAACTGAACACACGTCGTACTCATGTACGTATTTATGTTTGTATATTATATATGTTTGTATATTATGTATGTATTTATGTTTGTATATTATACTTACGTTTATGTATTTGTGTATGCATATTATATCTATGTTCTTTTCATATATCTTCTTAATATATAACTCTAGTATCTGGACAGCAAAGCTTTGCTCAACGTTAGAAAAAATTATAACCATCTCAGAGATAAATCTTATCTAGATAACTTGGATAGTAAAACATTAAATATAAACAAGAACTGCTTACTAGAACGTATATATATAATTAGATTAGAATAAGTTAGAAAATAATTCCCCCACAATCATACAAGCAATTCCATTTCAAAAGATAGGGTTTTATTCGACATAGTTGCTGAATTGAATACAGAAAATAATTGTATAAATGTATTAATATTTATTTCAGTTACAAGGTACTATGCATGAGCTACCTTACATGCATTCATACTGCACACTTACAAAATGTCAAATTCTCACATTGGACCTGAACGATTGGGAAGAACTTTTAAAACATTTTCCAGCAAGTAAGGAACGTATCTATCGAAATTTGAATCTCGACGGTAGTCCTCCCAATCCTAAAAAACATAAAAGGGACACCAAAGGCAAAAAAGTTCGTAAAGTCGCAATCGTAAAATCTTATAATGAAGTTCCTTCTGACCATATCAGTGACAAAGCAACTGAACCAATGGTTACTTCTCCAACTGAACATAAATATACAGAGTCAGAATCAACTGATAATCTTGAAGAGATGTCACCGTTCCCATCTGAAGAATTAATGTCGACATTGTTATCCGAACCTGCAGCAACTAATTTAATATCAGAAGAAATAATGCTTAAACAAATTTCTGGGTCTCTTGATGACAGATCCAAGTTAGACAAAAGCGATATACCAAAACAAATTGATAACCGAAAAATAAGTAGTAAATCTTCAAAAGAACATGATCATACAATTCCAAAAATAGCATCTATTGGAACATTGCAAGGCACACAAGCTACGACATTTTCAAACTTTACTATCCTTAGCATCGATTCAACTAATGCAGATAGTTTACTTCAATTAGAGGATGAAGAAATTACTTCTAATCTTATAGCAAAACTTGACAGAGGCAATAAACCTACAGCAAGTACATCAAATGATTATAAAACTAGCGAAACAGGTAAGAAAAATGTGAAAGAAGTAAAATATGCAGAAACCGATGAAGACAAACAAATTTCTAGCTATGAAATGAAAACTGTAGAAGAGTATATACTAGAACGCCAGGAACCAGAGAATTCTATATCCTTAGAACAACAAAAGGCAAAATTCTTACCAGAAAGGAAAGAACTAGATAATCTTCCAACAAGTACGCGCGCCAACAGATATTTGTACCACATTCGTTATAAAGATGAAAATACTAAAGAAGCATCTCTTGATGAAAGTGTTACCAAGAAAGTTTCTTCGGATGATATGTCATCCAACCGAATAAAAACAATGTCACCTAATAGCGAAACAACTGATGATTCGAAAGAAAAAAATGAAAACACAGAATCTATTAATGACCGCAAAAATATGAAACAGAGCAAAAAGAAAGACGACTAAAATACATTTATTTTATATAAATTTTAAAATACATATATAAGTATTTTCATAGTGAAAACTTGTTTTTCTTTTAAGTATTTGGATTAAATCGAAATAAACTATACGCTCCATAAGTTTTGATTTTATTTGTACCATATGAAACCTTTTAAATTAAGGACGAGAAATTATTGTGCCGAACAGCTAATATAAAAATGCCAAAATCTCAACGTTAATTCAAACTAAAGTGATATACAAACGTACAATCCACCTGATAGTAAAGGCAGACAATGGACACCTACAGCCTTCAACTGCAACTTTAAACAAAGAATCTCGATACCCCTCAGATCGGAATACAGCAGGACAGACACTGCTTTTTGGCGGCAGAAATTAGTAAAGAGTTTCCTATTTGGACTAATATAAGTTGCTTACTTAGGTAATTATACTGGCTTTCTTACCTTCCGTACCAAAACACAGCTGGGGAAGTACTGTTGTGAGTTGCCAGAACACATTTTAAATATATTTTTAAAAGTTTAGTCAATAGATCATTATTTACCGTAATACATATAATTTTTCGATTTATTTATTCTTAAAAAAGTGCTTTATTATTTTATTTTTATTTTGCCGAACTGTAAGATCATTATCGGCAATAAAACAATTTAACGTTTCACAATCGTTAATGACAATACATGTTACTCATAAATAGTTAAATCTCTGCTCATCTTAAATACAATAAACATTCACCACTATGGACCCAAAATAATGTTTGATGGTTTTTAGTTGCAACTTAGTTACGCTTTTGTCATATATGTCCGCCACCTCATTACACAAAGTTAGAGTTATCCATTGCCTTGTACGCCGTCCACAGTAATGTTCAACCCTAGGTGTGAGATATATATGTGCCATATATGAATAGATGTTTCCTCCTTTGTGTAATTTGACGCTTCGGAATAATATCGGCCGGGGAAAAAGTTTCTTCGTATTTTGTTTGTATGACATTGAAGAAAAATCTCTTTGGTTGTACTGTTTGTATCTGGATGGTTTTAATATCAATACATGTTGGACATTAAGAAAAATGAAGAATAAAAACCAATTTCCCGCCATTTTTCATTTCTTTTTCTGTCCACCAAAATGTATGAATCTAATGGGGAAAATCAATACATTCTGAAGTTTTACTGTAAAAAAGGGAAAAATGCGACTCAAGCCGCAAATAACAATTATGACGTTTATGGACCTAATTTAGTGTCAGTAAGACTTGCACAAAGTTGGAAGCGTTTATAGTGCCAGAATTTTGATATTAAAAATGCAGCTCGCTCTGGTCGACCTCATACGGATAAAGTCGACGACATTTTTGAAAAAGTGGAGCATAATCGGCATATTAAAAGTTACGACATATTCGAGGAATTGAGGACCACAAAACATTTTTGACCAATTTGACAAAGTTTGGCTATACAAAAAAAGCTCACGAAGCACACAAGCTCTCTGAAAGAAATCTAATGTATCGTGTACTCATTTGCGATTCTCTATTCTTCAAGGGGTAGTCAAGCTCCACAGACTGTAGTGAAACCCAGATTAATACGCAATAAGCTGTGTTTATGGTGGGATTGGAAGGGCATCGTTTATTATGAGGTTTTACTGCGGGGCAAAACCATCGATTTGAATCTCTACTGCCACCAGTTAATGAGATTCAAGGCAAGAAATTGAGAAAAAACGACAGGAATTGATCAACAGAAAATGAGTGGTCTTGCATCATAATAACGCCAGACCACACACATCTTTGGCCATTCAGCAAAACTTCAGGAGAACTTGGTCGGAAAATGTTAATGCATCCACCATATAGTCCTGACCCTCAAATTTTGCCCCGTTTCAGTCTCTTCAGAATTCTTTAGGTAGTATTAGGTTGACATCAAGAGAGGACTGTCAAAACTACTTATCGCATTTCTTTTGGTCAAAAATCTTAAGATTATAATGAAAGGCAATTAAACTTTGAAAAAAAAAGTCTTGAATTTGTATATAAAATATAAAGAATAAACTTCCCGACCCCCTATACTGGATGACATTTTTTACCATCTCTTTTTTATCGTAAATAGGGTGTAACATGTGAACGGAGTTGAACTGATATTTTACAAAAAATAAAAACAAGAAGTTGAATTAAATTAATGAATTAGTTAAAATCTATCGAAACTCGAAACATATCTTAATCTGCCTAAAACTTAAAAACGACTGAATCGATTTTGATAATTTTTGTGTGTTTTAATGGGTCTCTACGCAGTAGTGAAGCCTCTATAGAAGCCGAGAAGCCAGACTTGTCCTATCAAACTGCTAATTTAATAATATCAACTAATAAAATTACTCGTAAACTGTATCAAACTATTTCAAATTTCCACACAAATTTCACATAGGTCGTGACCTCGTAGCTTTATTATGTAATGTCAACACTTGTCAGATTGCTTTTAATTCGAAATACATTGATTCGTGTTCTCTCTGTCTCAAAGCGAACACGCAATGTACTGTCAAAATTAATGAAAACAAAGCAATATCAGATTATAAAGTACATAAATGACTCCGGTCGCGGCAAAACTGCGCGATACTGCTGCCATAATAAAGGAGTTGAGTTGAGCGACTGGTTTTCGAGAAGACGATCGCTGCCTTTCTAACCTCTGGCAAAATGTTCTATAGTGAAATATAACTACGCTCTTTTATATAGCAATTAGTATAGAGCGACAAGTTGGGCTTTCGGTGTGAAGTTAGACGAGCAAGGGGGTGCGCGGGTAATACGTTTGCAAGTTCACTACACATTTCAATGTTTACTTTGTGTGTTTACTTGAGTTAAACTTTGTTGAGAAAAAACAGCTCATATCCTCGTAGAAACCAACGCCTGATCTGTTATCAGACAAGTAAAACCCACAAACGGCAATTTAATAGATCTGTTTACGAACTCATTGGATTGTTAGCTACTCACATACCAATAACTTGTACTGCTGGTGCTGCATATTATTTTCCAACGACAAAACAGCTTGGAATACTACTAGATATAATGATTTAAATAACTTATCTGGAACCATTAAAAGGTATATTGAGTTCTCAAAAACACGTGAATGCAGTAATTCCGTTTAGTAATTTTGGAAAAAATCGGATTGAAATTTGAAACATCTTTGTCACGACAGTTATCCGAGGAGGAGGCTGGGTACTAGCACTTGCTTGGGATCCTATAATTAATAAAATTAAAACTAAACCCAAGCATACCACTGCAAGACTTCAAAATACACTTAGTTCATTCTGCGTAGATCGGACCAAAGATAATAATTAAAAAGCTGAAGGTACTCCGGGTTAACTTTGACATCGGGACGTCAGTCACCTCAGTCCCCCGTGACCATGGGTGCTGGAAAGCACCCGAAACGTCGGGTATTAAAATTAATCTAAATAAAACGCGATAAAATCCGTAGAAGTAGTTTTAATCAATGTATAGTGTTCGCGTAAATATAAGAAATCATTAATTTTGTACATTGTTTGTACTTTGTTCACGCTTTTCTTTTGTTCATGTATTGTATGTAAATATCTTTTTCTTTCGCTCAAGCAAACCCAAACGGCTTTTTTCAAAGCCACCGAAAGTATGCAATTGCTGATATGTCATACAATCTATCTAGCAGTGGTATGCCTTCTGTGTGCTTTGTTAAACACGTCCTCGTCAGCACTGAATATGAAACTGAAGCGTGGAGACAGATCAAGATTGGTGTATTTTATAAAACTACTAAAAATAAAACCATGTCTTGGGCTTGCTCTGGTTTGGAGCCCTAGCTTCGCCACAGTCTCTATGTGATTTAGATTCACATTTGCTCCTGGTAGGTGGCGCTGTTGTCGAGATCCAGAAATCACTCGTGCGAAGTCGGGGCGGCTCGCTAGGAAATAAATGTACATACTGTACAGACAAATAACAAATAAATAACACGTACGCATTCATATAGTATTTAGCTAGTCATGAGTTTGTCAACATTATTCATTTACTCATTCATGGGTGTTGCTATATTGAAGCATGCATTTATCAATTACCGAAGCGAAGAGTTGGAGCGACGCCAAAAGAGAACTATTTTGGCAATCGTTAACCGTGGCAAGCGGCTTCCAGCTGACCGAAGTCCGAACTCATATCAGTGCTATTTAAAATTTTTGATCTACTCAATTACACCGGATGAATATGCTTCAGACATGTGAACACTACAAATCCCAAATGAAATCGGTAAAGTTATAAAACATAATCTATTGATCGTCTTATGCGTTCACGTTCTTCTTTTGATCTCTACTAATTCTTAATTTATAATATAAATTACGAAGGTGTTTTTATTATTACGATTATTTAACATTAATTCATAATGCTGTGTTAGTCCCTACTTTAATGTATGGTAGTGAAAGCTGGGTGTGGCAGAAGAAGCACGAAAGTAGAATAAATGCTGTAGAAATGCGGTCTTTAAGGAGTATGCTAGGGTTGAATCTGAATGACAGGATGAGAAATTGCATGATAAGAGATAAATGTGGTATGCAAGATGATGTTGTGACCAGGATTAAGAAAGGAATGCTTCTGTGGTTTGGTCATGTAGAAAGAATGAATGAGGAAAAAGTGACAAAACAAATTTATATGGCAGATGTGAACGGCAGAGTCGGGAAGGGACGCCCTAGAAAAAAGTTTATCGACCAAATTGGCGATATTTTGAAAATGGGCCACGTTAAAGGTACCCTTAACCGACGAGCATGTATGCGTAGATATATGGATGTAAAGGAGGCGAAAGAGGTATGTCAGGATCGTGTCAAATGGAAGTCCGTGGTCTCTGCCTACCCCTCTGGGTGACAGGCGTGAGTGTTTATGCTATGCTATGCTATTTAACATGCTTGTTAACAATGTATGTTTGTCTTAAACATTCTCTGAACTGTTGTTTGCAAAACTTTTATTTTCCTATCGTTTTGTTCACATCAAATGGCAGACTTACGATTTATGAGAAATTCATATCATTTAACACATTCAGTGCCCACTCCACGGATCCGTGTGGTAGTGGGAGTAAAAGCAGGGCCTACTACACGGATCCGTGTATTACTCTCGCACATTTTTCTATTGGCTAGTGAGCTTTGGGCTCTCGCGGCAAGTTAACGTTGTCTGCTTGGCCATCCGTACGTATAATTAAACTTACGAAAACCTGTGTTGGATTTTTGATAACTTGTTTAGTTGCACTTTGATTAGCTAACGAGAATAGAGGCGTGGTAGCTCAGTGGTTAACGCTCGCTGTAAATATAACAGAACGCGAGTAACCCGGATTCGATCCCCGCCGGCACCAATGAAATTGTTAATTGCAATTTTAAGTGCTGATTTACCACGTACTCGGCGGTGAAGGAAAACATCGTGAGGAAACCTGCATGTCTGAGGAATAAGAAAAAAAAATATTTCGAAGACATGTGAAGTTCGTCAACACGCATTTGGGCAGCGCGGCGGACACTTCCTTGCCCTAAACCCTCTCAGAAATGAGGGGAGGCCTGAGCCCAGCAGTGGGACGTATATAGGCTGTAACTTTACTTTAACTTTTTAGCTAACGAAAAGGAAGCGTTTTCCTACCAAAATGAATAGTAAACCGAGTACTTCTAAGCGTTCTAGTAGCGTCAAAAAGACATCGTTTTGAAAAAAAAAAGACGTAACAGTAGTGATGAAGGTGAAGGAATTGACATGTATTTCTTAGAATTTTCGAGTGATGAAGAGGTTTATTCGCAATGTAATTATGAAGATGGATCATCTGAAGAGGAAAGTGATGACAGTAATTTGAGCATTTTCGATACTCGGAAACAACCTGAAATGATAAAGCAAACATTGAACACTCTCCAGAAGTCTAGTTCAGCCTTGACGTCAACAAAATCAAATAACATAGCTTCTAAGCCACGTCCATCGCATGTGTCAGCGAAATTGTCCTCTGCTTCAAAAACGGTAGATGATATTATGCCGCAATCTCCTAAGGAAATGGAGGATGAGCTTATGCCACAACCACCACCAGCAAATAGCCGGCATATCCCTTCCAAGAGGATTACAATGAACTTCCTGACTTACCTGATTATCTATTGCGAGAGAATATGTCTACCCCTAGTTTTTCCCTGTTAAGATCGGACGTGCCTACTCCTGACTACTGTGATGGCAATTTAGCATTCGAACCTCATAATTCACCTAGCTCGTCTTTGCCTCACTCGCCTATTCGTAATATTGCGGAAAACTTACCCTCTCGAAAAGAATCTTCAGAACGTGGTGATTTAGTCAGCCCGTCTATTTTCCGTTCGCCTATTCCAAATAATGCAGAAAATTTACTCTCGAGAGAGGTAGCTGTAGCTATTCGAAACGAAGAAAATGGGGTACATTTTCTCTAGATTGCCCTACAGAAAATTGGAACACTGATCGAAGCTCAATGAAGACAATTTACTTTACTCAGTCACAAGAGCTACTAGTACCGCCTCCAGCGAATCCTTTTGAAACATTGAGACTTTTGATTAATGATAAATTGATAGACCTAATTGTGCAAGAAACTAACGCTCACGCAGTAAGAGTACTATCTTCACCTGGAGTAACAGATCAATCAAGAATCACACGCTGGAAGGATGTAACACGTGAAGAACTTTGGACATTTTTTGGACTGCTCCTGCAACAGGAACAATTCGCCTAAATAGGCTAAGTGATTGTTGGGAAAAGCACTGGCTATTTAAATGACCAGTAGTTCTCGTCACGTGCCAAGAAACCGGTTTATGTTAATACTACGTTGCCTACACTTCTCTTCTGATTCAAATGAGGAAGATAGGCTGGTTCCAATTCGCCCAATCATGAACCATTTTAATGAGACGATGAAAGGTATTTACAGTCCAGGTAAACAATTATCGCTTGACGAGTCGATGGTTTTATGGGACGTCGCCTGTATATTTCGGCAATATATTAAAAACAAGCGCCACAAATACGGTATAAAGTTATATGTTCTGGCGGAACCGGATGGCACGGTCTTAAATTTTCAAGTACATGGTGGTGCAAATGATACTACCTCAGGAAAAGGACACACAGAAAAAATTGTCCTGAAATTGCTCGAAGAAAGATTAGACTACGGTCACAGTATATACATGGATAATTATTATAATTCCTACAATTTGGCAGTAAAATTACTGAAACGAAAAACTTACTGCACAGGCATCTTGGGAAAAAACAGAAAAAATAATCCAGTGGATCTCGGTTCGGTCACACTCAGAAAGGGAGAAAACAAATCATCGTTCTTGAATGGTGTCCACATCGGTAAGTGGAGAGACAAACGGAATGTGCTCTATATATCCACGGAACATGACGACGAGATGGTAGAAGTTGCTAGCAAAAGGGGCCAAGTGTTGCTAAAACCCTCAGCTATCGTCCATTACAATAGCTTTATGTCTGGGGTAGACCTTCAGGACCAAATGTTGGCCTATTTCCCATGCCAAAGAAAGACGCTGCGCTGGTACAAAAAACTTTTGCAAATATGTACAATATTCTGCAAATGAGCCTAAGTAACGCGTTTTACTTATTTAATAAATACTCAAATTCCGACAAGATGAACCTCTATGATTTTAGAATGGCTATCTTAGAAAATCTTTTACCTGAACCTGTACCAACGGAGCAAATTAAGTTAAAAATTCAACACAATTTGACGAAAATAGAAAACTTTAAATTACGTGAAAAACGAGATGGTAATTCCACAAAAATTACTAGAGAAATCATCAAGAAGGAGTGCAAGGGCTGCAGAGCCAAGAAGAAAAGAGTAGCTACCTTATACAAGAGTTCAAAGGATGTGATGGATCCCCAGGATATTGTACAGCATGTTTTAGCAATGTCCACTCTTAAAGTGTGTTATGTATTTAATATATTGTGTATATATGTGCCTTATTTACCAACCTTCTTATGTTTTAAATTAATAAAAAATGTCGTTTACACTATCTGTCATTTTATGCGGTGGTCATTATGGTACAAAGGAGCAGAAGTACTTACTGTAATAATAACATGTTCTTTATTGCACAACCCTCGCCAACACGGATCCGTGTAGCTGGCTGCACGCATGTTATTGGCCTGATACACGGATCCGTGTTGGCGATAATAATTATAGAATAATAATAATAAATAAATGAATATTATTATATAGTCCTAATTTATGTTTTCTTACATACACTCAATATTTTTATAAATTTTTATGTGGGCCCCCGTGGTTATCATTGATATTTAAAAGGGCATTTAATGTGTTAAGCCTGACTCAAGACACGCCAACCGGCGATAAGAGCAGTGTTCAAGGTGCGAGATATCTGGTACGGTGATTATCAATCCACTTATAAAACGTGACAATTAAGACAAAATCTTCCAAATCAAAAAAAAGAAAATAGGAGAGACCATTGTTCTTTTTGGACTTCCACGTGCTGATGAAGCAAAAGAATATTTTATAATGGTTGATATTGTACGTGGTAGAATCATGCTGCAGCTATATTACGGTTGAAGCAAGAATGGGTTGGCTCGTCAGAGAAGGACCACGCTCTAACAGAATATCAGCGTAAAATATCAGCTTAATGGTGCTGTTTTTCGTATGGTGAGTGTATAGAAGTGGATACCCTTTTTACTGAAGACGATTATGTCTTGTTCCTCATAGGTGACAACGCATCTGCATTTTTATTCTTAACCGAGGATAGATGTAGATGTGGATGGGTCACAGATACCTCTCACCATTAGGTGAATAGTGTGTTCGTATGTCACTCTTGACATAAAAAAATCAATCCTCATCAAAGTTTTACTAATAAAAATACGAGATTCTAAAAAAACTTTATTAAATATCTCTTACACCATAACGATTTCAATATTCTAAACAAAGGCGATACGCATCGAGCAACAATTTTAAAACTAAAACATATCGTTGAAAATAATTTAATATTTAATGATGATGTCTTTGTCGTTATGTTTGTGATTTATACCAATGGCCTTGTCCTGACACTTTGTGAAGAGATTAGTGGAATGCCCAGCACTGTATTGTATTTACTTCACTGTATTTGTTCATAATTAGGATATTTATTATAAATTTCGCTGTCGTTTGCAGCTTCTCCAGTTATGTTCCGTTCATCTTCTATGGGTCTTGTCTAACGATATTTAAATGCTTGGGTATATAGCGATATTGCTTAACTTATTATTAAATTAGGTACTAAAATTACGGTTTTCTTAAATTAAATTCATTTTACATTTTTTGACTATCCGCCTGCCTCATTGGTCTCTTAAGTTGTCCCGACCACACCTGAAACAAAAACAGTTCCATTAATCTTAATGTTGACATGTATATTATACGGGTAGAATGAGTCATATCGCTCGAAGAACTGACAACCCATGGGGAAGAAAGGTTCTCAAGGGGCAGCCAGATACCGATAAGCGAAGTATATGGTGGCTCCCGACTGGATGGAGTGACGACCTGGTACGAGATTAAGGAAGTTGAGGGATGCAGGTAGCTCAGGACCATGCTGTGTGGCATTCCTCGGAGGAAGGCTATGTTCAGCAATGGACTTTAACAGTATATTATGGTTACGGTCCAAGAGTTCCAGTAACCATTAACCATAAGGTGAACTATAAGTTCGTTCGCCACAAGTACTTTAATAAAAAGAAACATTCAGGTCGGCAAAAATGTTTCGATGCAGCTCAGATTCTTTCAGATTCATTAGATCTCAGATTCTTTTCAATAAATAACGATGAAAACTCTATGCATCAATACGACTACGCTAGACGATATTCTTTTATTTAACTATTTATTCATGTCTAGTCTGTCTAGTCTAGCTCAGTTTCTGGAGCGGTGCTGAAGCTTTTTCAAAACAACAAATATGTATCGGTGATATTAACTATTTCATTTCAATAATGAGTTAAAACTAATTCAGTACAATACTGACTTCCTTAACTAAGTGATTACATTACTACCGATAAGGACTATAATGAATATATTTCCAAATGCAAAAGCTTTATAGTATGGTCAACACAAGTATGTATACTGAAAGTATGACTCTTTGATGGTCAACAGTAATAACAATTATACAGTGGTGTTAGCGTCTTCTGTAACGTTACACTTTATAACATGTTTTGAGTAATCTTGTATCAAAAGCTTAGTCTCTATAACGTGTGTGTTTATTCCGATGATATCCCGGACGTCAGTCTGAGAGAGATTAGAATGGCTCTCCACCACCTTAAAAACGGCAAGACCCCGGGCGAGGATGGAATTACAGCGGAGCTTCTGAAAGCGGGTGGAACACCGGTACTTGAAGTCCTTCAGAAGCTCTTCAATTCCGTCCTGGTGGCACTACTCCGAAGGCATGGAGCAGAAGCGCGGTGGTCTTGTTCTTTAAGAAAGGCGACAACGCTCTCTTGAAGAACTACAGACCGATTTCCCTTCTGAGCCGCGTCTACGTGCTGTTTTCGAGAGTCATTACGAATCGTCTCGCACACAGACTCGACGACGACGACCAGCCTCCCGAACAAGCCGGTTTCCAAAAAGGCTTCAGTACCATAGACCACATACATACCCTGCGGCAGATTGCACAGAAGACCGAAGAGTACAATCTGCCACTTTGCCTGGTATATGTGGACTATGGAGAAAGCCTTTGATTCCGTCGAAATTTGGGCGGTGCTACAGTCCCTAAAGCGGTGCCAAGTTGACTGTCGGTATATCGAAGTGCTGAAGTGTTTGTACAGTAGGGCTACGATGGCTATCCGAGTACAGAACCGGAGTTCGAAACTACTGCAGAGAGGTGTAAGACAGGGTGAGGTTATATCCCCGAAACTCTTCACCGCTGCGTTGGAAGACGTTTTCAAGCTACTGGACTGGAAAGGATACGATATTAACATCAATGACGAGTACATCACTCACCTTCGATTTGCCGACGATATAGTCCTTATGGCAGAATCGCTGGAGGACCTTAGCACTATGCTCAATGACCTCAATGGTGTCTCCCAACGGATAGGTCTTAAGATGAACATGGACAAAACAAAGATCATGTTTAATGTCCATGTCACACCTATGGTGGTAGTTGTTGGGAGCACTATGCTCGAAGTTGTTGACGAGTACGTTTACCTGGGACAAATAGTCCGACTAGGTAAGTCCAACTTCGACCGAGAGGTCAATCGACGGATTCAACTCGGCTGGGCAGCGTTCTGGAAATTACGACACATCTTCTCGTCAGGTATACCTCAATCTCTGAAAACTAAAGTGTATAACCAGTGCGTGTTGCCAGTGATGACTTACGGATCTGAGACGTGGTCCTTCACTGCTGGCCGTATGAGGACGCTCAAGGTCGCTCAGCGAGCTATGGAGAGGGCTATGCTCGGAGTTTCTGTGCGTGATAGACTCAGAAATGAGGATATCCGCAGTAAAACCAGAGTGACCGACATAGCCCAACGGATTAGTAAGCTGAAGTGGCAATGGGCCGGCCATATAGCTCTAAGAACCGATAACCGATGGGGAAGAAAGGTTCTCGAGTGGCAGCCTCGTACCGGTAGGCGTAGTGTAAGGCGACCCCCCACGAGATGGAGTGACGACCTGGTAAGACATGCAGGAAGTCGATGGATGCAGGTGGCTCAGGACCGTGCTTTGTGGCATTACTTGGGGGAGGCCTATGTTAAGCAGTGGACTTGTGAAGGGCTGTAATGATGATGATGATGATGATGATGATGATGATGATGATGATGATGAACGTGTGTTCATCTATCATCATTTTATTATTTCTCAGTCTTCAAAGCCGATAGCAATAAATAAATAGAGTGGAAGTCATTACTTAATGATAAGGACATTTTTATTTTTATTGACTCATTACACTGTTTGTTTGCTGAATTTAGAGCCCTGGAAACAGATCAAAATCGAAGACATATAACTTGTTCTTTATCGAAGCGCTGCATCTAATATATTCTGTCCTTATTGCTAAAGTGTTATTATGTAAGAGATTTATAACAAATCCTATAAAACTATATTGATTTAATGTTTATTACAGCTACAGCCGAGTTTCATAAAAAAACATTAATTTGTGCACTTGTCCGAAAATTCTAGATGATTTTTTTTATGAAACTATTCCAAACGTCGCCATGATATGTTATTTACGTTACGGTTTCGCTCCCGAATCATTTATTTATGTAACCGAATGACGAACATCACTCGAATTTGACGTCCATCCAGCAAATATTTAGAAATGATGAACGTTTTACGTGGCCCGAACTATATTTCTGTAATCGATGTAAGACTTTTGTACATATGATCTACGCCTCCGCACAAATATAAGTCCCCTTATATTTGTGCGGAGCCGTATTTGTGCGTTTATAAGTTTTTTAAAGAAGTAAGTAAATAGAGCACAAAATTAACCCGATGATAAATGGATGCTGTGGCCCATAGAGATGTACTCATGTATCTATCCTCGATCCTCGAAAAGTCAAAATGCAGATGTGTTCTCATCTATGAGGACTAATATGGGATAACTCGATTCGACCTTTATATGTAATCTATTAATTATGAATAATATTTAATGCAGACACAGATGTTTTATTATATGTCTTACATTAAAGCTAACTAACTGCCTAAATTAAAACTTTACGAATGTAAATAAAATAATTTTATGTTTCACTAATAAATTTTCATGTTTCACAAAAAGGAAATAAAATATAGTATACTCATCTGAATAATTACAAGCCAAAAAATATGCTGTGGGACAAACGCCTAAATGCAATTGATTTAATGTAATAGAATGTACACCAGGAACCTTCACAAACTCGAAAAGGTGTACAGTGTACACGTAATAATACAGAAATATAATTGTATCTTGTTCTACATGAAGCATTACCTATGTAAACAAGTGTCTTAACTTTAGGAGGAACCGAGGGATTATGTTTTAACTAGCTCAAAAGTAATGTAACGGGAGCTGTGAACGCCACCATACCATTACCTTAAAGCTTTGAGTTCTTTAAATCAATAAATTTTCTGTCTATCACTAATGATTGTCTTCGATTCAAAACGTAAATATAGATATAAATGGGTTTAAACCTTAAATAAACATAATTATTACTAATTAAATGTCTTGTAATTATTATTTTTACCTAAATAAACTATTAACTATTAAATATATATATGCATACGATCACTCGCACAGTCATTTTTCAATAACAATATAAAAAACATGTCCGTTATTTTGATTGTCTAAACAGTGTTGTCGATCATTTCAAAACTAGCTACTATTTATCATTTTATTATTATTTCTCATTTTCAAATTAGTCCAAATTTTTCGGCTGTCAAAAACTATACGGCACCGAGTCAACAGAGACGTCAACAGCATTTTTCAGTATGATTTATAACCGCGTCTTCCAACACTGTTGTCCCCGGTTACGAATTAGTCTCGGATAATTGATGAGATTTGGCTCACTGAAGGCGCCTAAAAATGTGCTAATATTTCTGTGTACTGCCACAGAATAAATAATAGTACTACGGTTCTGTACGGAACAGTTTTATTACGTGGTATAAATTTTCGCGATAGCATATCACGAGAGGTATCGCACTGGATTTATTCTTACACACAAAAATGCATTAAATATTAGGTTTCTGGTTAGTAAAATTACATACATTAGATAAAATAATTTATAATGTGACGAAGTTTCCAAAAGTATACTATATATATATATATATATATATATATATATATATATATATATATATATATATATATATATATGTATGTATATGTGTATATACTAAATATATTTTTTTTAAATGATGAAATACAGACTATCTATATTATAGACAATACTTTGAATAGCGAATGATTTATGAAACTTACACCAAAAGAAAAATTATAAGTGGAATAAATGTTTATTTGATTTAATTAAATCACACTTCTACATACCACATCAGGCCTATAAAATTTGTGGATTATATATAGCTAAGACTTCATCATCAACTACCATCAGATGGCTTTTAGTGAATCACTGGATTATTAGCGAGTAAAAAAGTTTATAAAATATTACGAAGGGGATATCTATATTACAAAAATTTCTGAATTACGTTATTAAGCTTTTTACGAGTCAGTTAACAGCACTTGTAAACTATTACGGCTGTAATAAAATCAAGCCAATTTTACGTCTGGTAAAACGACTCATAAAATAACATCACATATTTATTTAATCTACGAATGTTTACGTTTAAAATTAACAACTTTCAAATAAACCAAAGATTGATAAATAATTCCTCAGTTTTTTTCTTTAATGCGTTCCCATCGCTCTCGT